GGCATCGCATCTACAGCCAGTGATTGTCATCCGGCGCCAATCCCCGGCCCATTCTGGCCCCTTTTGCTGAAATTGTTACACAAGTGGTTAACGGGGTCAACTGTTATCCAAGTAATTCTTAGGCCCCCTCCATACGCGCCCCCCACCTCCCTTCCCCGCTTCCTTCCTTTTAGCGGACTGTCCATACGCGCCCCCCACCTCCCTTCCCCGCTTCCTTCCTTTTAGCGGACTGTCCCTTCTTTTTCCGTTTTGTTCTGTACACTTGGCACGCACCTGGCTGTACGTAGCTGGCACGATCTTTCTTGTCCCGATACAGCAGTCCAGGAGCTGTACCTGGTACAGCTCTCAGGGACGGGCATACGTGCAGTACCAGGCCCAGGTACAGCTGGCAAGGTCTTGAATTTCCCGACATACCGTTGGACCCATGCCAGTTAGCAAGACCCACCAGCTTGCCTGGACATGATCTTGCTTGTTTGAACAAAGCCGACCAACCAGCTCTTGTCGGGACAGGTTGTCGGGACAGACTGGAGATTCAGTTTAATATAATAGAGCTCATAACATAATGCTGCTGCTCATTGATTAGATCTTGTCTGGGCACATACCATAAATGAATAAGAGTAAATGTAATTGTATAAAATACAAACGATCAGATCTTGTCGGGATCCGTGAATACGGACGATAAGATCTTGGGACTCGTTCCAGTACGAAAAATTCTACGTGTGTCTGGACCGCAGCGAGGGCCAGATACACTCGAGCTGACCCAACATTCTGAATGCATCGGGACCATTACCAGTTTCAGATACATTTAGAAAACTATGTGGTGGAGCGTGGCCCCTTGTCTGAATCCACTACTAATACAGACGACCAGATCTTGTCAGGTATCCGCTACCTTCTTCCCCCGAATAGAACGCACGGTCACTTCACCTGTACGGGGACCGACAGTGGCCCAAACACAACAGCTATAATGACCTTGCGCGTTCTATTCGGGGAAAGACGATAGTCGATCCCCCCAAGCAATATACCAGACGGACTACCCGTAGTTCTGGCTTTATGTACGTCGATATGGTCTTTTGCAACAAGGAGAAATTCGAAATTTCGGCTCAAGTAGCTCTCTCACCTCTGTGGCTATAGCGGGGTACTGCTGTAGCGGGTGAACCATCACCACTGTTTCTTAAATGATTGATGTGGCTGAAACAGTGCGGTATGGTCGCAAAAAAAAAAAAAAAAAAAACAAGAACGGTATGGCCGCAGCCCAGGGACGAGGTCCCACTAGCAAAGAGGACTAGATTTGGGATTACGCAGATCAATAGCGATATTACACACCTCTCCGCGAACACGTCCAAATTCAGGCGTTAAATCCAATCCTCTTTGCTACCGGTAGTTGTGCGACCTCGCCCCAGCGGACAGAGGTCGCCCTGAGGAGAGCAGGCCTTCATTTCATTACTCTGTCCTTAATCGAGGGGCAATCAAAAACATTACTAACTCACCTGACATTTGACTTCATCGTTGTGTAAAAGTTCAAAATAGGCAAGAGCCATCGGCAGGCCAATGCTATCATTTCCCGCAGCATGGACTGGCGATTTTACACCAAAAAAAAGAAAGCAATCAACGTGTTCCCAGCACCACGTGTTGCTCCCCATGAAAAGATCGGCGCTGGTTATATCCAAAAAAATAAAAGGTACGTATGTGGCCAGGGGAATAAATTCTCCTTTCTTAAAACAGAAATTCCTAGCCACACTTTCTTTTCCAAAAATAAAAATAAAATCGAACACCCCTTCCCACATACATCCTGTCCTAGGATGACTCCCATCTGCCCACCCGATGTATAGTTTTCTGGTCATTGATCCTCTCATAACTGGACACGTGCCCAGTCGCAAAAATAAAAGAATCTTATCCGCCCGTCGGGACGTCACCCCCGTGCTGCTCATAACTTGCACCTTCTCTCCCAAAATCAGTGCAGCGTCTCCCGTCTATTCGCCCGGAGGAACATTGATAGTGTTCTTTTCTCCCGCGGTTACTGCTCGTCGAGAACAAGGTTGGCAGTACAGATGAGGCGTCCAATCGATATGGAACCAAGGGCCGCGTGGCTGCCGACCATAAGAAACTCCTCCGCATTAAAAAAAAAAAAAAAAAAAAAAAAACATTTTCGCCTTTTCTCTGCTCTGGCGACAGTTCCTTCTTGTTCTCGCTGTGGGAGTTTGATGAATGAACCCTATCTGGCCTGACCCGATCTGACAAGACGGGACCTGCTATCGGGTTCCCTCAGACAGTGCACGCTACCGCAAATTACTGTATTTGTCGCTGGAAAGATTGATTGATGCCCTGTAGCAATGATAATCCCCACTTCATACCTCGTTACGACATATTTTACGTAAAAGAGAAAAAGAAGCTAAAGCCGTTAAATTCTTGCGTCAACCTAACGCTCCCACTTCGTCAGTGGAGTTATCCCCAGTGAAAAGCGAATTGAGAGCTTCTCTTTTTCACTACTACTACCGTTCCATCTTGTATGTCCCGCTTGCAGGAGAGGGAGAGGAGGAGGAATCGGGATCGGAGCGTCGCGATCGCAAAGGTGGGGGAGGAGGGGGAGGCGGAATTGAGGAACAAGGGGGAGGGGGTTCTTATTGCGCCGGGATCGCAAGGGCGGGGGAGGAGGGGGAGCGGGAGTCGGGATTGGGGAAGGAGGGGGAGGGGAGGGGGAATCGGGATCGGAGCGTCGGGATCGCAAGGGTGGGTGTGGCAGACTGCGTAGCCACACGGGCCCTGTAGGACCCGTCCCGGACATTCAGCCTAAAAGCCTAAAACTTAGGAGCTACAAGCCCCGGTCGTTTCAGCCTGAAAACTGAAAAACGAGGGCATGCAGGCCCTACTCCGTTTCAGCCTATTTCTGGGTCTTTCAGACCCAGAGTTTTTCCAGCCTGAAACGGAGGGCTATTCTTAGGCCCTGGGCT